CTGACATTCTTCTTTACCTACCATTTCTTTTTTTTTTTCCTCAAGACAGTCTCACTCTGTCTCCAGGCTGGAATGTAGTGACCCAATTTCGGCTCACTCCAACCTCTGCCTTCTGGGTTCAAGGGATTCTCCTACCTCAGCCTCCTGAATAGCTGGGGCTACAGGCACATGGAACCATGCCCAGCTAGTTTTTGTATTTTTAGTAGAGACAGTTTCACCATGTTGGCCAAGATGGTCTCAAACTCCTGACCTCAGGTGATCTGCCCACCTTGGCATCCCAAAGTGCTGGGATTACAGGCGTGAGCCACCACGCCTGGCCCTACATTACCTACCATTTCTAAACACTATTTCTTCTTTCTCTAATTGTTCCCAGTGGGACCAACATACACACTGGAACTGAAATTCCTATTATTTCCAAAGATGTATTGAAGTCATACACACTGAGATTTCCTACAAAGGAAACTTTTCCTTATTCTAAAAGAATAAGTACATATTGTTTGATGTTTTAGTGCTGCACTATAATAGCAAAGACTTGGAACAAACCCAAATGCCCATCAATGGTCAACTGGAAAAAGAAAATGTGGCACGTATACACCATGGAATACCATGCAGCCATAAAAAAGAATGAGTTCGTATCCTTTGCAGGGAAATGGATGAAGATGGAAGCCATTGATCTCGGCAAACTAACACAGGAACAGAAAACCAAACATCACATGTTCTTACTCATAAGTGGGGGTTGAACAATGAGAACACATGGATATAGGGAGGGGAACATCACACACCGGGGCCTGTCAGGGGGTAGGGGACAAGGAGAGGGAGATCATTAGGACAAATACCTAGTGCATGTGGGGTTTAAAACCCAGGTGACGGGTTGATAGGTGCAGCAAACCACCATGGTACATGTATACCTATGTAACCAACCTGCACATTCTACACATATATCCCAGAACTTAAAGTAAAATTAAAAAAATTTAAAAAGACAAGTACATGTTGTTTTACTTAGATATTTCTAAGCCCCCAAGAATTTGGAGGGAAGTATTGGCTCTGAAGTATTTAATCATGTATACAGAGAAGTTATCTAAGAAATCCTTGGGATGTCATCTATATATGCTGATATTTTAAACTTCACCTTTGATTATTCTGTTACTGAGACGAGTTATAGAAAGCTTTTCCCTCAAAAAGCATATTCCTGAGAGATTGTAATAAAGCCTATCTAAAGATATCAGTGAATGATATGTAGCTCTCAATCAGTTTGCTGTCATTTTTGGTGGCCTTTTCAATTGTTTACTAGGTTTAAGATATTGAACACGATCTCAGGTAAATGTCTGGAGTAGGAAAATGATTGTTGCTGAGTATTTATAATGTCATATAACACTTGGGTATTATGAAATGATACCATGGAGGGGGTTGACGTTTGTTAGAGTTTGGCAAAATTTATCCTCATAAAGCTTCAAAGCTGGAAAGATGATCAGGTGTACCTGGTATAACTAACCTTTATCTAAAAAGGAGCTCTTTATAGGGTGTGCCTCAAGGTCAGGCCTGTTGGATTGTATATTCATAAACAGAACCTGCAGAGACTGGTCCTTACCTCAGGCAGCTCATGTTTCTGCTCTAGAGAGGCATTTGTCACTTATTTCTCTCAGACCTTTGTGCTTGTTTTGCATGTGCAACCATGATATCTTAGCAGAGAGGTGAAACTATACGCTTCCTTACCTAATTCATTTTGTGCCTTACTGTCTTTCCTGGGTAGGATGCATATAGTGCCATTCTCTTTCATTCGAATTCACTTGGAAGTAAAGTTTATTCCTGATGGGAGGCCCCTTTTTAGATCACATCATGCACTTATCCCTGCCCAGTAACTGTCTCCCGGGTAGTCCTGTGCACTGCTTGGCCTGGAATTGAATTCTTGTGCTTCTCATGACTCCTTTGGATGAATCTAGATCCACTCACTGAGAGCTGTGTCAACTTTCCCAAGTCACAGGGCTATGTGGGGGAGGTAGAGATGCTGGAGTAAAACTGGGAACCTCTTGCGGAGGTAAGAGAAAGGAATGCATACTTGGTAGTCCGCCAATAGTGTCAAGTACAGTTATGTACTTGCACTTTCCAAGGTCATATTTTTTATTTTTATTTTTCAAGTATAAAAGTACTCTCGGCCTTTTTTAAGGCCTTAAACACAACATTGATCCTTTAAAAATTTATTTCCCCAAATTGTACTCTTCCCCACTCTCCCATAAGAGCTTCTTGAAGCAGAACATCACACCTAGCTCTTCTACATATGCTTAGCACCTAGCCCAAGTGCTGAACATCAGGCACAGAATGAATACTTCCAGAACAAATACATAAACACATATAACTTGTTCTCTGAAATCCCCTAGGATTCAAGAATCTCAGACTTTGTGTAGAACAAAACAAAACAAGAACCCAGATCTCCAAGGGTCTTGAGAAAAATCTCCTGTAACAGTATTGCCTCTTTTCCTCTTCTGTTTTAGTGTTGACATTTTACTTTGATTTTATCTTTATAAAGTTTATGACTACCTTAAGTAGCATTAAAATTCTATTTTTTAGTTTCATGTAACAGGGTGATCATGTTTTTGTTTTTTAAGTTGTTAATATACCATAATGTAAAGATGTTTACCATATTTTTTTAATAGATTGCTGATTTTCTATTTTAACTCCCTGAGTCTTTCTTTTCTGCCCACTACCAGGATGAGTGGGAAGAAAAGGATGGTAGAAAATGAGAATGTGTTTTAACTAGTCTCATGTGTACTTTCTGCTAAGTGTTTCTCACACCATCATTGTGATGGGTTAACTTTATTAGTACCATTTAAAAGGTGAATTTATAAAGTTCGCAGGCAAGGGATTTCTCTAACATCTTTGTATTAGTTATCAGTTGCTGCTGTAACAAATTATCACAAACTTAGTGGCCTAAAATGCAAATTTGTAATCTCCCAATGGGTTCTTCTTGCTTGCTGCACAGATAAACCAATTCACTGAGACAGTTGTATTGCAATAGAGAAAGAATTTAATTAATGCATAGCCAGCTAGCCAAGTGGAAGATGAGAGTTTATTACTCCAACCAGCCTCTGGTTGGGGGCCACAAGACCAGTGGAGTCATGAGTCATGGGTCCAGGTAGAGTCAGTTGGTCACCAGAATGCAAAAGCCTGGAAAACATCTCAAAAGACAAATATTATGTTCTATAATACTAATGTTATTTATAGGAGCAATTGAGGAAGTCACAAATCTTGTGGCCTCTGGCCACATGACTCCTGAGCAGTAAGGGAATTTTAGAAAGGTAAGCTAGGGGACAGTGGCTGGTTGTCCTTTAACTATGCCTACATCTTAGCAGAATTCGGGCCTCTCCCAAAATTCTGAGCTTGTGGCCTTTCATTAGTCTTACAAAGGAGGTTTTCATCCCCCAACAAGGGGCAGAGCAGTTTTAGGGAGGGACTATTATCATCTTTGCTTCAGAGTTAAACTAAACTAAAGGCCATGGCAGGCAGATCACCTGAGCTCAGGAGTTTGAGATAAGGCTGGCCAACATGGAAAAACCCCATCTCTACTAAAAATATAAAAATGAACGGGCATTGTGGTGCACATCTGTAGTCCCAGCTACTCAGGTGGCTGAGAGGCAGGAAAATAGCTTGAACCTGGGAGGCAGAGGTTGCAGTGAGCCAAGATCAGTCCATTGCACTCCAGGCTGGGCGACAGAGCGAGACTCCATCTCAAAAACAAACAACAACAACAACAAAACAAAGTTTAACTGAACAACTAAACTAAATTCCTCCCATAGGTGGTCTTGCCTCTGCCACAGAGTGAGTGAGTACAGCCTACCTGTGAGGCTAGAAGCAAGATAGAGTCAGCCAGGCTAGACTTCTTCACTCTTATAATCTGAAGCAGTTTCAGATTTATTCTCTTACAGGTCAGAAGTCCAAAATGGATATTTGGCCAAAATGAAGGTGTCAGCTGGGCGGTATTTCTTCTGGAGACTGGAGGGAAGAATCTGATTTCTTGCTTTTCCCAGTTCCTAGAGGCTGCTATGCAAATTCCTTGACTCATGGTCACTCTCTTCATCGTCAAAGCCAGCAGCTTAGCATCTTCAAATCATTCTCTGACTCTGACCATTCTGTCTCCACGTTCCATTTCTTAAAAAATCCTTGTGATTAGGATTTTCTGAGCCTACTCAGAAAATCCAGAATAATCTCCCCATCTCAAGATTATTAATTTGAGACTGGGAAGGCAAGGGGATGAAGAGAGGTTGTTTCATGAGTACAAACACAATTAGAAGAAATAAGTTTACAGCGTTCAATAGCACAATAGGGTGACTACAGTTAAGAATAAGTTATTGTCTATTTCGAAATAGCTAGAAAATATCTAAAATGTTCCCAGCACAAGGAAATGATAAATGATAAATGTTTGAGATGACAGACATCCAAAGTACCCTGACTGATCATTACATGTTGTATGTGTGTATGAAAATATTACAGTGCCTCATAAATGTGTACAATTACTATGTATCAATACAAATTTTAAAATAGAAAGCTTATTGATCTCATCTTTGAAGTCTCTTTTGCCCTGTAAGATAATATATTCAGTTGTAGGATTTAGGACATAGAAATCTTTGAGGGAAGCACTACTCTGCCTACTGCAGAGACAGTCCTAATACAAGGTCCGAACAGAGTTGACCTTCTTCAGATTTCTAGCTTTCTGCTTATACAAGAAAAAAGTTTTCGGCTTTGATTTTTTGGTATCTTCTCCTAGTACTTCTGTCTTGGATATTAGTTATTTAATTTTACAGAAGAACTCACATCCTCTGTGTTTGTTTGGATAAATTGAGGTTGAAAAGTGTTCGATGACAGTAACAATACCTTAATAACATAATGGGAGAGGAGGCAGCGTTTTGGCAATTGAAACCTGTGAGTTTTAGACAGAGATGTTTAAAACTTGCCCCATACTGACATATTGCATGAACTCACAGAGTCTTCTAACTTTTGTCTTTTAGGCTTTTGTACAGAAGTACATCGTGAAGAATTACTTCTACTATTACCTATTCCGATTTTCAGCTGCTTTGGGTCAAGAAGTGTTCTACATCACATTTCTTCCATTTACTCACTGGAATATTGACCCTTATTTATCCAGGAGGTTGATCATCATATGGGTTGTAAGTATTATTACTACTCATTAACTGATGTCACTTCTAAAACAACTACTTCCTTTGATATTCAAGTACTTTGCACATATGTTCTTTTTGTGAAACCACTTAGAGTTGGATTTGTTGCCTAATCTACTTTGGAGAAATTAGAGAGCTATGAACACAACTTGTTTTATTTGCAAAAAACAAACCTGTGACTTCCTGTACTTTGAATTATGCTTTCCCAAGGACAGATCAAAGTAGGAGAGTGGAGAAGTGATGAACAGAGGAGAAAGGACTTTTTTTTTTTTTTTTTTTGTAATGGAGTCTCGCTCTGTCACCCAGGCTGGAGTGCAGTGGCGGGATCTCAGCTCACAGCAACCTCCAAGTTCTGAGTTCAAGCACTTCTCCGACCTTAGCCTCCTGAGTAGCTGGGACTACAGGCGAGTGTCACCACAGCCAGCTAATTTTTGTATTTTTAGTAGAGATGGGGTTTCACCATGTTGGCCAGGTTGGTCTCGATCTTGACCTTGTGATCCACCTGCCTTGGCCTCCCAAAGTGCTGGGATTACAGGCATAAGCCACTGCACCAGGCCAAGAAAGGACCTTTCTAAGGACCCATAGACGGGTATAAAATGCATCTTCCCAAGAGGCCAATTTTAGTAAAATTTGATCCGAAACTAAAATCAGAAGCTGTTGAGCAATACCTCCAAGCAGTATTAAGCAACTATACAGATAGGAAAGGCCAAAACACATAAGGCAAAGCACCTTCCTTGAGGGTACTTTCTAGTGGAGTAGGAGCAGCTGCAAATACACAGAAACCATATGACAATCCCAGGTAGACAGGCAGAGCCCTTTTCTGCTATTTTGCTGGTAACCTAGCATTTAATTTTGTTCAGGGCCAAATGAGTCCTGATTTTGTGCCTAATTGAAGGAGATGAGAGATATTTGCAAGGCAGCAAGGCATACTCCAGATATGTAGGTTTGTTGTCAGAGAGGCCTGAGCTCAAGTACAGTCCAGCCCCAACTATGTGCCCTTGCTCTGAGCCTTACCTTCCTCATTTGTAAAATTGTGTGAATAATGTGCATCCCCATAATAATTGTGGGAATACTTAGAGTGTGCACAGAGCTCTAGGCCTGGCATGTGGAAGACTCTGCAGGTCACTATTTGAGCATGAAAACGCATAAGGCGAAGAAGTCTTGAAGATCAATCACTTCTAAGGTCAAAGATTATTAGTGGGTGTAGGGGGCTTCCAGACAAGACTGTTTCCCCGACTCAAGATTCTGCACTAGAAATAGAGGTTCAGAAGCACTTGGATGAGTTTAAAAGAGAGGCTTTCAGCAAGTGACTTTCCTACAGTGGGCTTAATGTTTTCTCGTTTGTAGAACAAGTAGAGTGGACTTTATCAGGGGTCTTAAACTAGAATGTTCTCAGGGGCAGGGGACAGAAATAAAACAGTAATGTCCTGGGTAGTGAGGGGTGGCAAGGGCGGGGTACCCACACAAATCCTTCACCACATGGAGATGGAGGCACTAGGGAGCAACCGCCCCTGACTCGACCTGGGACTCCCTAGCCCTGTCTCCCTGCAGCCCTCTTTTGAAATCTAGCTTCTGTCTACAAGTAGAATTTGAGAGTCTGCAAAAGCATAGGCATCTTGCAAATCATAACGAGGATATTAGTCCAGTTGTCCCTCCAGGTTTCTGAGGCCGCTTCTGTGTCTACAGAGCAGGCAGGATGGGGGCAGAAGGGAGAGAATGGGAGTGGTCTTTCTGTTCTCAAGGTCTGAAAACCCATGGAAAACCCATGGAGCTTGAGTTTCTTTTCTTCTGTCATTTATTTTCTAAGATGTGTGTATGTGTGTGTGTACGTGTGTGTGTGTGTGTGTGTGTACATATGTGTATATGTATGTACATAGTTGTATATGTAGGTGTGTATAGGTGTATACATATGTGTGTATGTATATAGGTATGTATATATCTATGCATGTATGTAGGTCTGTGTATATGTATGTGTGTGTATATAGGTGTGTGTATATATGTATGTATAGGTGTGTATATATGTGTGTGTTTATAGGTGAGTATATATGTGTCAGTGTCTGTGTATAGGTATGTGGATATAGCTGTGTATATATGTTTGTATGTATATAGGTATATATATGTTTATGTGTGTACATAGGTGTGTATATATATGTGTGTGTTTATAAGTGTGTATATGTGTGAATGTATGTATATAGGTGTTTATATATGTGTGTATATATAGATGTGCATGTATGTGTGTGTATATAGATGTGTATGTATGTGTATATGTGTGTGTGTTAAAGGTGTGTTTATATATGAGTGTATGTATACAGATGTATGTGTGTGTGTGTGTGTGTATACAGGGGTGTGTGTGTGTGTGTGTTTGTGTGTTCTAAATCCCAAAGCCTTAATGACGGTTAAGTGGGACAGATGATGGGAAGTACATTATCCGTGAATATCTTACAATGTGTTTACTCTGCTCAAGGTCAATTATCTCCCCCACTGCAGGTGGAAAACTTTCCCTGAGAGCTGGGAAGACCTCTAGACTTTATAGAAGGCTGTGGTTAGGAGACTCTTTGGTTGTCAGTATTGGTGGTTATTTTACGCTTTTGATTCCTTTCTTTAATGTGTCAGAGTGCCTGTTTGAGGCAGAATAACAAGCTTTTGTCATAGACTGAGTCAAATAAAATCTTTGCCTGTGAAAGGAAGAAATAACCTCTGAGTCTGCAGCTTGTCCTGAGGTTTGGCCACCTGTTAATTAACTTTTTAAAATAGGCGCATGGCCTGGTTCACCAGCCACCACCACCTTGCCCCCACCCTGCCCTCAAACCCCATGCTAAGACTTCTGTAGTTATTCTGTGTGATCAGCTGCATCTGTAAGGGCAGTGTGAGAAGTGTAAGGTAGTGTGTTCATTCCTGCCAGGGCCTGGGGAGAGAATGGAGGCCATTCCAAGGGGACAGAGGGAAGGAAGGGAGAGAGCAGGGAGGGAGGGAGGAAAGTGTGAGTGTGCCTGCGTGGGTTTGTGCATCCGCATTTGTGTGCATGAGAGAGAATGTGTGTATGTGTACACATGTTGGGATTAGGAGTGCTCTCTGATGGGCTACAGAGACAATAATGAGAGCTATTTGGTTTGGCTCCAGAGTTGAAGGTAGATGAAAGGAAGGGACAGTCCTGGTGGTGGGAGGCGGGGTTGGTAAGGGAACCTGGGGTGGATAAGGGTTAGGTTCTAGTACTTGGCCCAGCCAGGGCAATCAGCTTCCTGCTGAGGCAGCCTTTTTTTCTGTAAAGGATATCCCTAGATTAGTGGCTCCTTCTTCAAAGGGGTAGGGATTAAGAAATGTTAATTGCATAAGGGACAGAGCTTTAAGTCTTGTAACCAAACATCTTATCTCACCCAAAACTCATCGGAAGGAGGCTTTGTTCAGGACTGCCAAAGCTTGGCACATTTTATATGAACTTGGGAATTGCCACTGGATGAAGCCCCAACAGGTTTTATTGCTTTTAAAAATCTTTTGTTACATTAGAGGTGACTCACACTGTCTGAAGTAGCTTAGCAGAATTTATGGTTGTATCAAGTACTCCCTCCTCACAATCACAATGAGTCCTCACCTGGGTTGTACGTCTTTCGTTGCTTTTAGAGGCATCTATGTTCGTTATCTTATTTGAGCTTCATCACAATGGGCAGTATCATATTCTAGATTGGAATAGTAATATTTCAAACATTAATAAGCCATATGATATATTGAGCATTTAGTATACATGCCATTCACTGTCAGAGTGCTTTACATGTTTTACTTCACTTAATCCTACCAGCAATCCTGAGAAACAGTTATTACTAGCCCACTTTACAGATCCTGAAACTGAAATGTAGAAAGGTCAGATAACTTGCCCAAGATCACACGGGATTAAATGGCAAAGTGGGTTTGATCCTGCACCCAGGCCTCGTCTACCGGGGTAGCGGCCATTGTTGTTTCTTAGAAGAACACAGCTAAGAGGCATGAGGAACACAATATTTTTTTCAAGATGTTAAGACTGGGGCTTTAAGCATTCAAATGATTTGCCTAAAGTTTTCTTCTATTGCATGTTTGCTTGGGTTTGTGTTCCACCGGTGCCCTTATGGCATTTATTAACCCTGTACTCTACTTAACTGTTTTTTTATCCACCCTTCTTAACCCATTTATACCTAGTGTTCCATTATTGGAACTCGAAGCCTTGTAGGAGTTATTTATATTCTACAGCTCGAGGTCATCGCCAAGGACTGATTTTTCACACACAAAAAATGTGCAACCTCCAGCATAAATGGGTTAACAAACCCCACAGTATTAGATAGCCTTTTGTTAAATTAGCTGAAACACATCCATCAAATCATTACTTCTCTCTTCTGTCCTGTATCAAGGTTTGTAACCTATCTTTGGGCTCAAAAGAATGTTAGACATTGGGCCAAAAAAAACAGCAAGTGGATTTTCTGATTAGAATGCTTCTGAAGAGATATTGTGGATGATGTTTCAGAAGATGAGTCACTGTTCCATGGAGTGATTATCTAATCTCTCCACTTTCATTTTGGCATGGTGACAGACCTAACAAAAAATAAAAGCTTTAAAGTTATATTTCTGTATCTTTAAAAGGTTAGCGGTAACTTCACTGAACCTGGCCGGTGTTTAGTTTTGTAACATGAAGCAAAAGTCTCACTCGCTTTTTGCTAAATTCCTCATTTTGTGAAATAGCAATGCAAACATTGATACCACAACTGATCCTGGAAGCTCGGAAGCCTCATTTTTGTGATATTTTATGATATTTTACACAGGTATTCCTTTTCGCGTATGCTTCATGGCATTCATAATGAGACTGTAGAAAAAATGAGATAAGCAGATAAAAATTGAAATTAGGGGGAACACAGTTGCAATACAAGATGAAAACCCAGACTAAAGTGCAATGAGGCATGCTGGTTCAAAGTGAGCCGCAGATTTGTATTTGAGCTTTGTCTTGGCCAACCAAAATGAAGTTACGCTAT